CTGCGCTCATTTCTCTTCCTGTTTTTTTGGTGTTAATAGTAAATGTTTCATCTAGTATGGAAGTGATTTTGAGAGACACACATCAAAATAAAGAAGACCCAATCATGTGATGTTCAATCAAAGGTGAGACAATAAGATTGTTAGCAGGTAAAAAAATAACAAAATGGTAGACTTGAGGAAGTACTCAGACCAAAATATCATATGAAACTGCGCTCATTTCTCTCCCTGTTTTTTGGTGTTAATAGTAAATGTTTCAGTTAGCATGGAATGATTTTGAGAGACACACATGCTGAGATACCGGTACTTACCTTCTTGGCTTGGCAGTATTCTTTATCTGTAATCTGTGCCAACACCCACAATCTAAAAATTAGAATGCAATATATTTTATACTGAGAACAGACAATAAAGACAGACAATGGAATTCTCATTCAGTGAGTAACGACAATTTGGAAAAAATCTGTTTTTAAAATACTGTATTTGTAATTGCTCTTTTAGAAAAACATCCCTAATATAAGCGCATGTAAACCAAAAATGAATATATATACTAGATGATTCAAATATACGCTACTAATGGAGCAAATACGGTAAAGTTTTTGCTATATTCAAAACACACGTGCATAGAAGCGTACACAAACTTAACAATTACATTTATTGGATCATTAAAATGTGACTAATTTGACAATGGTAGAACACATTTTGCCGTGGTCTGAATTTAAATTTCGCATGTTTATATGTTCGTAATTTACCTGTAAGTATGTTCAACCATAGATACACTCATCACTCACGTAAACATATACACTATTAATCAGACAAATAATATCATGCTTTGTGAAATCATTTGAAAACAAACGATTTTACGAGAGAGAACCTGGACTTACTTTCTTTCTTGGCCCGGCTGCTGTATCAATTTCAATCCACTTACAGAGTCTGAGTGTATGAAGTAAAGAGTTGGACCCATAGTAAACACTACATAGTTATCCCGATACTCATCAAAACATACCAGTACAATGTCACCTATTGAAAAACTAAAACAAACAACTAGCTTTAGAAATGCATTAGAACTCAGGCAAAAAAAGATTGGGCAATTCATTTTTTGAAATTGATGTATGCACGTGGCTTTTTATTTCAAATCTGAAATTGACAAATATGATTTTTAAATTTTATATTTTCTAAAATTCTGGAAAAAAAAAAAAGCTATGACAAGCATAATTTAAACTGACACATGTGGCCAAATATATGAATATTGTTTATTTGTTTTTTGGCGTAATGCCAAAGTCAACTTTTAATACTTTTCACAACTAAAACCACACAACTGTATTTATATTTTTCACCAACTTTGATCAAGACTTGCAGGCAATTGAAAAAAAAATTACATTTGACTGAGAAAATACATAAAATGAACTCTAAAAATTAAATGACTTCAGATATCAAATCAAGGATTTTGAGGGCAGTATTCCAATAATTATAAACCAATATTGTGAAATTTTTAATTTTCGCTGTCAGAAATGTTCAAGTTTAATAATTTAAAAGCGTTTTGAGGTCAACATTTTGTGAAAATCACTGTGATGAAGGGTTCTCAGGATCTCAGTGACAGTTGTAATATCAGGGCACTGAAAAGTCACAGCAAAGTAACACAGTTGGAGTTGAAAATTTGTAGCAGTGAACATTTCTCTTGGGTCCTAGGACATGAAGTTTCAGCGACTTTCACAAAATATTCATAGAATCCTGAAAACACGAAAATTTCTAGCAGTGAAAATTGTAAGCGGTTAAGGTAGAGATGCAGGTTCGTGGGCACTTGGGAGTGAAATTTTTTTTGCTTTTTATTATCCAAACAGTCTTGGCTATAGACTGTTAAAATTTTGTAGAATTGTGAATAGTGGAACATATTCAAAAAACGATTTTAAAATATAGATAACAGGTGCAAACATTCTCTCTTTTGAATGCTTAGCAAGATTTAGCAAGGCTGTACATAAATAAAAAAGAAACATGGTGAAAAAAAGAAATGACGGGATCTCCATAATATGCACTACCGTATACGGTATATTTAACTTTTAACAAAACGATAATACATTTAAATTTGGAACTGTTACAGCCATTTTAATTATGAGCATTAGCAAACTTCCTACTGAGTTAATTGTTCTGTAAATTAGAAATTATCTCAGCTTCTTTTTAGTGCACATTCCAGAACTTTAAAAAACAATAGCTCCTAGACGCTTTGACCTTTTGTTTTGAAATTTTCACAAATGATTGACAATGTGTTTATCTTCAAAAGGCCGTCGGGAAATTGTTTTTGGTTGAACAGTGTTACAACAATCGTACAGACAACTAGCATGGGCGTTAATTTATGAATAAACTTGAAGTAGTGAAATTTGAGCTGCCGCCCTGTAAAATTGACAACTGGTAGACAGTTTTCAAGACGGCACTTTCTTCATAGTAAACAGATGTACCCATAAACCAAATTTGACAGGAAACAGAAGCATGGTTTAGAAGCTATTTTTATTAAAATCACTTTTGACCAAAAAAGCACATTTTTGTGCATATTTCAAACTACAGTGACCATAGAAAAAAAATACTAAGAAAATTTTAAAATTCATACAATAAGCTTTCCGAAAATGTATAGTTTTGTGGACAAGGGAGGTCATCTTGGTTTCCTAATTAATTAATTAAAATACCTGTCAGGTAAACTGCATCTCTACCTTAAGACAAATGAATTAGATTTTCTGACCACATGCGATGCAGTAGAGCTGGACTCAATATAAGGACAGTTTCTATCGCAGGAAGACTTACTCTTTTATTGTTACTTTATCAGCTTTGATCGAGGCAGCTTTGGTCAACTGCATCTGTGAAGAGACAGACATAACTGTCAAGACTGAACATTGAATGCATTTACACCGTTGATTGATGTTGATTCCAAAAAAACATATACATATACAATTTTTTAATGTACGGCAACTGCAACACTTACACAATCACAATTACACTTACAAAAAATGTACAATTCAAAATCTAGTTTAGATTGTAAGCATAAATTAAAGTTTTGTAGCTAACAATTTTGATAAATGAATAGGACATGAGGTAAAGCCACAGAGACTCCCTAGCACCACAGGGAAAGTCACTGTGACTCCCTAAGATCCCAAGAAAAGTCACTGTCTAGAAAGTTACTGTGACTCCCCAGTGAAAACCATTATGACTCTTTAGGACCCCAGTGAAAAAAAATGCGACTCCTTAGGACCCAAGATAAAGTTACTGTGACTCCCTAGAATCTGAAAGTCACTCCTCTGAAACTAGTCATTTGGTGGGTTACTCAGAATATACCTCATGAATACTATCATAGAACAGTAAGAGTGTCGTCTAGAAACTTCCTGATCCCTAACTCTATTTTAGAGAGCCAAAATGTGAAAATGGAAATGCGGACGTACAGACCCCTTACCAGACACTCATTCTAGTAAACATACTTGATACTTTGAATAGATTACATACCAGCCTTTGATTTAATGTTGTACACTCCTCTTCTTTAGCTCTAAGAGTTACTTCTAACATGTGTATTCTATCTCTAGAATCCAAACTAGCAAACGTGATGTCACTGTCAGAGATAAAACATTTTACACATCTTGAATATAGCACATAATTAATTCATAATAATTAATTTTTCAACGATACCGTTTTTCCAAAAACACAATGTAATAATTAATGGTATAAAGTTTGACCTACTTTTTATAATACAAATATTAAATAAATAAATGACACATATACACACAGATTGGAATGTGGAATGCAAATATGCAAGTATTGTCATCAGATAGGTAATAAATAGGATAGTACACATGTAGAGAGCAAACATAGTCTACAAAAGGCAGACAGATGAGATGACAAAAAAAGACAGACACACTCACACATGCAGACTAGACTACAAGACAGACACACAAAAGACAAACAGACTGGAAAGAAAGAAAGAAAGAAAGAAAGAAAGAAAGAAAGAAAGAAAGAAAGAAAGAAAGAAAGAAAGAAAGAAAGAAAGAAAGAAAGAAA